AATAAAGTGAAGTTTGAAGGCAAACCTCCCTCCTTCTCACGTCTCTGCCGCTCCACCTCGGCCTGGATTAGGCAGGTTGGAGCTCTCACCCCTGGCCATGTACGAGGCATTTTGGATAGGCAACTTTTAGTTTCTCTTGGAATATCGCCTAACTCCTGTAAAGCTCATTCTATTGTCCCTGTTTTTTGGCACCCCCCTCCTTTTTCTTGGGTCAAAGTGAATACTGATGGCCTTGCTAAAGGTAATCCGGGTCCTGCGGCATGTGGCGGGGTTTTTCGTGACTCTGCAGGTTATTTTCTTGGTGGTTTCTCCCTAAGCTTGGGCCATCGTACTTCTTTCTATGCGGAGCTCCATGCTGTCATCCTTGCTGTCAAATTGGCCCACGCGCGGGGCTAGCAAAATTTATGGCTTGAAAGCGACTCTTCTAGTGTAATATCATGTTTTGCTTCTGGATCTTTCTCTCCCCTTTGGTCGCTCCAGACACGCTGGAACAATTGTACTCTCCATTTGCAGAACATGGTTTTTCGTTGCTCTCATATTTTTCGAGAAGGGAATGTTGTTGCTGACAAATTAGCCAATTTAGGGCTTCTATCATCTTCACTTGTTTGGCATTCCACTCCCCCTATAGAGATCCTTCCTCCTCTGCACTCAGATTTCTTGGGCATGCCAACCTACAGGTTTGTCTCCTCTTCTTGATGTGTGTTCTCCTTTCTTTTCCTAACCTTTTTGGATTCCCTTTTGTTTTGCAGCTTGTCTTGCAGGTTATTACCTTTTAGGTTTATAGAGGGGTTTGGGCTTATGTCCGCCTAGTCTTTTCCTTGTATTTTCTTTTCCAAGAGGGGTACGGTCTATGTCCCCCCCTCTTTTTCCGGTATTTCCTTTCTCAAAAGGGGTAAGGTGCATGTCCCCCCCCCCTTTTTTGTATTTCTTTTCTCTTGTTCTATGAGGGGTTAGGTTTATGTCCCCCCCTGTCTAGGTGTATCTTCTTTTTTCTTATCAATAAAATTCCCTCGTACCGCCGAGGTTCTCCAAAAAAAAAAAAAAAAAATGCAGAAATTAGGGTTATGACGTTGTGTTGAATATGAAGTGAAATCACTCGAAAAGCCAAATTCTTAACATCTTCCACCTAGTTACCCAGAGTAGTCAGTAATATGGAGTCATGAAAGTTTTCTTTTGAGTACATCGATATTTTTACACTAGAGGAGGGGGAGTTCGGCTATGCTACACAATAGGCAACTTAATTTGGCTGCGAATTCGTAATCCATGAGATTTGAACCTAAGACTTCTCACTTCTAAGCGAAGAAGAATATCACCAGACCGCAGTATCGAGTGGTGAGTCATGAAAGTTATTTTGTGATGACTTACGACTTGTGAGAAATTAATCCATGACAATATATGCTAAACAATTATTAATTAAAAGAAGGATCGATTAATTAAAAAAAATCTAGCAGGGTTAATTTAAAACTTCAACCAATTTAAGTAGAGATTTTTACATGTGTTCAGAACACGGGCACATAGTTTATATATGTCATTATAAAAGTTGAGGGACACTTGAAAAAAAAAAACCTTTCCTCCGATTATATAGTAACATAGAAGTACTGTCCCATATTCCGAACGCATTGAAAATCTCTCCCATTTAAGAAACAAAGTCCCTCTTTGAAAAAAGGAACAATTGCCTTCTCCCGGCTCAATGTTTTATGAAAATATATATATATATATATATAAAGCATATTTTTGTGTTTTTTTTCTTCCAAAGTAATAGAGGCGGGTCGACCAAATACATATGAGTTACATCTCTATTAGAAAGGTGGTACAATTGTAGTATAGAAAATGTAATAAGAATAGCATTTTTGTTTTTCTTGCTTTTCCAAAACAAAACTTGCAAAATTTGTGCCCTCCCAATGTCCCTATTCCCATAATTTTCCTCGAAGGCTATCTTTACTCTAACCCAAATTGGGAGATCCCAAACTTTAGTCCTATATTTTCAACTTTTTACCTATACATATGAGGTTAGAGACGTTAGGTAATTTTTTTGCTCCAACTGTGAGAGACCTATAATTCCCGCCTCCAACTTTATAATTTGTTAAACTTTTGTATTTCATTGAATTTTTTTTTTTTTTTGGCTAATAATTTTGGAATTGGTTTTTGTATATTTTTTTTATGGATTAGTGAGCAAATGAATGGGTATTTATAGAATTTTGATGTTGGACCTGATTAGGATTTTATTAATAATATTATTTTAATCGTTGCATTTAAATTTGAGCAGTTAAATCTTTTTACTACCGTTAAAATTAATTAAATTGAATTTGAGCCGTTGGAGTTTAAAAGAAATAGCTCGCGCGCCATCTGAATCAAAACCCATAAGGTACTATAGCCGTTGGATCTCAACGGCCCGACAATCTAGGCCGTAGAACCCCTGCTTGCCGTGTACTCGCCCGCAAAGAATTATTTTGCCATCTTCTTGTTGTTGCGCAAAACCTGTTCACGTGATTAGGGCTGGTTCGTGACGAGATCCCGTACCGAAACCCAAAGCTCGATTCCCAACCCAATAATTTTTTGGACGGTATTTTACAACCCGAAACCGAACCGAAATTTCGAGATACCCGAAATTTTTTCGGGATTTCGGGACGTGTTCGGGATTTGTATAAACCCAGAAAATTCATACCAATTGTAGAAAATTCAAAATTGGTATAAACCCAAAAAAGCAGATGATCAAAGAAAGCAGACTCCACCTATCTCCTTCCTTCTTTACCCCAGCAACATCAGATGAATTATGGCCAAATTTAGTGGGCCATTGGCTGTTTTTGGTTCCCATCCGTCTCATGCTTTCGGTTCCCATTCAAAAAGCTAAGGAAAAAAAATGAAAGGGTGCACAACAAAAAGAAAAGCAAACTGAAAGAAAAAAAAAGTAAGGTAAATACCTCCTCGGAGCTCCGCCGACGTTAAACCCACCATTCACTTTGTATACACCATTGCAGAAGCCCCAATTCAAAGCCCCATTTCGAAACCCTAACCCTAATCCGAAACCCCACACACAGAAACCTAATTCGAACTGCCATATTGAAATCCTAACCCTAACTCGAAACCCCACATACAGAGAGAGAATCAGTGATAGTTTCAGAGAGAAAATCGCAACAGAGAATCATGAGAGAAAGGGTTGGCTGTGTGACTGTGTGTGGTGGAGAGAGGGTGGAAGGTCGGAGATTGTGTGGTCATGAGGTGTGGTGGTGGCCGGAGTAGAGAGAGTTTGTCGAAAGAATTCGAGTGAGACTGTGGGAGGGTGTGTTGGTGGTTGCTGAAGTTCTAATTAAAGAAGGAGAGACTCAAAGAGAGTTTGAGAGAGGGCTGTCAAAATGAAATGAGACAGAGAGTGGGTAAGGCTGGAGACCCCTAACAAAGAATGGACGACCCAAATTGTTTTGAAACAATCCAATGGTTGCAAACTTGCAATTATTCTAGATATAATTAAATATATATAATAATAATAATAATAATAATAATAATAATAATATATTTTCAGGATTTTCGGGATTCCCAAACTTAGAATGAGCAATCTCGAATCCCATACCAAATGATTCGGGATCGGTTCGGGATTTTCGGAATCGGTTTGGGAATTTTCAGTTTGGGATTGGGATTTTTTCGGTTTGGTTCGGGATTTTTGGGAATTTTTTCCAGCCCTACACGTGATGGAGCAAAGTTGTGCGGAGCGCTCGACCCACTAGAAACCTCATCCATCTAGAAGAAAATTTTAGTTGTGATGGAATATGGATGATACATTACGTGTTTTTATGCAAGTAAATGGGAAATTTTAATTTTTAAGTTATTAACCTTTTAACACACATAACCTATCATTTATATAGGAACACCTAGTGTACTACCTCGTATGACAGTCACACTAAAAAATCTCTCTCCATCTGGGGGATAAGACATCCAAATATCCACCCCAAACTCAAAATTCTAGTTTTCCTACCTCCAAAATACATCCTTAGATAGGATTTGGACCCCAAATTTGGGTTTTTTTTTTTTTTTCCCATCCTCCCATTGGAGACGGCTTAATGAACTGTGATCAGTACCTAATCATCACAAGTTAACAAAAGCTTAATGACTAGGCTCCAACTAAAATACCCATAATTGAGTTTAAGTTTGCAAAATTGTATTTTTGAATGCCTAAATTACCCTTAATAACATTAACGTTAGTCTGTTAATTGTGAAGAGGAATACCACTATATTGTAGTACTAAGTGGCAATCTGTTACTTGTTATCTACATTTATTTTAATTATTTCATTCAATTAAATGTTTTCATAGCTTATGCGGATTTGCAAAAGAAAATATTTAAACGTCATGATTCCAATGCATACTAATAACAAAAAATACATGATATTAGAGTTTTAATTCCTTATATAGTTGTTTTCACATTTGTGTAAAATTGAGCATTTGTCGGTTTCTTTTCAAACGATGATAACAAATACATTAGTATATCCTACAAATAGATTTTTTTTTTATTTCATTCAAAATTACCAATATTTTACATATAAATATAAGTAAATTATTTTGCACAACATATATATAATAACAATAAAATTTCCTAGTAAATATATGTACTAATAATACATACATACACAATAAATAAATATTGTTTGTTCAAAATTAATTAATTTCCTATATTTTGCAAAAATAAAATATAAGTAAACTACTTGCACACACACATATATATTAATACCAAAACGTGCCTAATATATGTAATAATACATGCAAAACAGTTTACCATATACTAACAAAACGTGCCTAGTATACGTAATAATACATGCAAAATAAGTTACCTACAAACTAAAGGAATGTTGATTCTAAATTAATTAATTACCTATATTTTACATAAAAATATAGGTAAATTATTCGCACACATATGTATAGTAATAACAAAATATATCTGATACATACATGCAAAATAATTTACCTACAATGATTGTCAAACAAATAAAAGAAATAGAACAGAAACAAATGATCGTAAGAGAAGTATAAAGTGGATACTTTTGTAATAATAAGGCACTTATTTGCCAGAATTATGGTAGGTAATTAAATTCATTAACATAACTAGGTGTTGTGTCACAATTGTAAATATTTGGATTTTGGCAGTCTATTTGAAATTTGGATTTGATTTGGATGTTTAATTATCTCTTAACAACCCTTAAATTTAAGCTGCCAAAAGTGAAGCCAACCCCATGATCAAAACCGCGGTACCAACAGCCACGATCCCACGAGTGCGTGAGGCCGCAGATGGAGCAGGTGACGAGGGTGCAGGAGCTGGAGCACTATCTGACGACGAGTCATCATCAGATGGCTTTGGTGGCGAGGATTTTTCGTCTTTGTCGTCTTTGTCGTGTTTTTTCTTTGATGGGGCTGGAGCCTTGTCAGATGATGACTCATCGTCTTCCGACGGACTGGGAGCCCCGTCATCACCTCCTTTCTTAGACTTCGAGGGGCTGGGAGCCTTGGCAGACTTTGGTGATTGGGCGGGGGCAGAGTCGGTGTTCTCGATGTCAGGCACGTCGATGATGGACCCCACTTGGAGAACTGAAATGTTGTAGGGTTGGGAAACAACCGACTTAACGAGGTTGACGTGATTGCCGCCATTATTGTTGCCCTTGTATGCGGATGCAAATGAGATATGGTTGTCTTTCACCGAAACGGTGATGAAACCTTGTTGGTGGCGAGCCTGACCGGTCGATTGGAACATTGTGGTGAGAGTTACAGACTTGTTTGATTTGAAGAGCTTTTTAAGCTTGTCCGAGTCGTAGTAATCCAAGATAACGTGGACGCTCAGGATTTTCTTGGTTAGGTCAGAGGATTGTCCGGAGAGGCCTCCAACGCCGCCATTGTCCACGGCGAGTATGGTGATGGTTTTACGTTTGTTGATCTCGTTAGCTAGCTTTGTCTCGGAGAGGAGGCTGTTGAAGTTGGAGAAGTCCGACTGCTTCTCTAAGATCTTGGTGATGTTGAAGGCCGACGAGGCGGAGAAGAGGAGGAAGAGGGCAAGGAAGAAGGAGGAGAAGAGGATGCCATGTTCCATCTTTCTTCTTTGCTTTGCTTTCTCCCTTCGATGCTTCAGTTGAAAGCTTGGTTTATTGTGGGGAGGGAGTTTGTGGGATTTATATGGGGACAGAGTTTGATTGCTATAATTAGACAAATAACAAAGTGGGATGTTAGAACTCAAAAGGCTGGGAGTGAATTTCTCTTTTGCCCGAATTACATTTTGGATTAGTTCTAAGTCGCACCTAAAAAAACTGCTCAACTTTTTGTTATTTACTCACGAGAAGCAATCCAAATTTAGAGCATGACATTGCATTATTCTTACCCAACACACTCCAACATATTCTCGTAATGTTCGGGCTCGTGGCTCTAATGGTATACTACATTTCCCTCTACGAGTCTACATCGATATATGGTCATAGTTTGACTTCTTTTCTTTTGTTGACCAATAAATTTTGTTTCCACGTGTAATAGTATTATATGATGTCAGTGATATACATGTTGTAGAGCTAGTGTACGACAAATTAAAACTTTAAAGTATAGTATTAGATGGTAAGGTACTAATTTATGGATTTGGATCTCTCCTGAGTTAATGGAGAGGATCTTCCTAACCAATCATCGTAGGCGTGTTATAATTATTATAACTTTAAAAGGATTCTCCTGCTTGTAATCATTGGATAAAAATCCCACAGCCGACGATGATTGATTACGAGGATTCTCTCCATTAGCTCAGGAGAGGATCCAAATCCCTAATTTATGAGTATAGAACTTATTAAATGGCTTTACCAAAATAGTAGCCACTTGCCACACTTGTGCGCGGAAATTAACTCTTTTATATTTTTCATCTTTTATTTACTGTGTTTTATTTTTTTATTTTTTTATTATTGTTTTGTATTAAAATATATTTTGAAAATAATGACCTTACTAATCACTTATAGTCTCACTATATACGTAGTTTTTATTTTTTTGTGTGAATCTTTTTTTTTTTTTAAATAAATCCTAATGAGAAAATGATAATTTGGATATTATGAAGGTTTCAGCATCTATTTCTTCTTCCTTTATATAAATATATATAGACTTATTAAGATGTCTCAAGGAGATCTATGTTTTAAACATGAATCTTTCATACCCTCTTTGGTGAAAAACTAGATTTCCGTTCTAAAGTTGCACATGAACTCATATATATGGATGGTCTCCATGCATGGTTCCTTTTGAGTATTTCTTGGGGGAGTCACATGCAATATTTAAATAGCTTTTAAATAAAAATCACAATTTTGGCTAGGATTGATAAATGATAATACATTCTTTTTCACCACCTTTAGTCACCTTGAGACATCGATCCTATCACCGTTCTCCAACCTTTTAATCTTGTTGCTGGCTTCAGAGCGGTGCAACATCGAGGAGGGAGAGAGAGGGAGAGAGCGAGCGGTCATCAAAATTGAATGGGAGGGTGGCGGTGGTGTTTTTCAGGGGTGCGGGGAAACCGAGTTTGTGTGCTCCGCCCCTGTGATGCCGAAACCGAGCTTAAAAAAAAATCGCATGAAAAAATGTATACTTATTCATAAGAACTTATTTATATATATATATATTTTTTACCAAGTCAAATGCAAAGGCGAAATAGGGTTTCTTGTTTTGCAAGATGACTCTTCAAGTACTCTATAGCTCTGTCATTAGTTTTTTATTTTTAACTCATTTTCTTCTGCCATACATGCACCCTCAAATTCTCCATGGAGTCTTTTTAATATATTATCAAATTCGCACAATTCAAATTCTCAATGCAAGATGAGTACGTAAGCCCTAAATTTCATTCATATGGTTTTTTTTTTTTTTTTTGGACAAATCATTCATATGGTTATTAAGAGAAAATTACCATATACCTTATCATAAGGTCCTTATGTGTGACAGCGCCACCATGGCTAAATTTATGGAGCCTTTTTGCTCAATCCCTTAACTCAAGATAACTGTTACCTCTCTCTTAAAATCATGCACGTGTCCATTTGCTACTTTGCATAGTTGTTCTTATTTACCAGACGTTATTGGTTCTAATTTTCATTTTAATATTCTTATTAAAGATGTAAACATTACTATTAGAATTTAATAAAATTTATATTTTGACAAAAAAAAAAAGGAATGAGTTTAGCTTCATAAAAGATTAACAATAACGTGATTCAAATTCTAGATGCATTTAATTTAATTAAACTTTTATGAAAAATAATAACAATTCAAAAAAAAAATTTACCATTTCCTATCCATTGAACAATAGATTGAAATATTATCCTATTCCTCTTTCTCTCTTCTCGGCTACAGCAAAACTTACCATTTTTTTTTTTCTGCTGTTCGATCAGTTCTTATTTTTCTTCCTTTCTGTTGGTAAAGCAGTTGGGGTTGATGCAATGGCATCAGTTTATCTTCCTTTAAATTTTGGACGCATATGTTCACTTTCAAATTTTCAATTTATTTATTCTTTCTCTGTTGATCAGTTCTTATTTTTCTTTCTTTCTTTATTGATCAGTTATTATTTTACTTCCTTCTCCGTTAGTGTAGAAGGAGATTTATTCTCTTTTTAAAAAGGTGGAGTTGTGCTATAGCCGAGAAGAGAGGAATAGAAATAGGATAATTAGCCACTTAATACTAGGTATCGTAGTATTCCTCTTCATTTAAAAGTAAGAGGTCTTAGGTTCGATTCATACCAAAGACGAATTTGAATCGCATTATTGCTAGCCCATTGTGACGCTAAGCTTAACCCTGTAGATAATATCGCTTGTAAAAAAAAAAAGATAATTCAATCAATTAATTGTTAATTGATAGGATAACAAATGGTAATTTTTTATATGAATCATTTAATTGTTTCTTTTTTATAAATATTTAATTAAATGCATAAAGTAGTTATGGTTGTATTTTTTTAGTACAACCATATATTTTGGGAGGGAGAAGTTTGGCTAAATCATACGATTGACAACCTAATTTGTTATCGAATCCTAAGATCTCTCACTTACAAGTGAATATACATACCACCAGACTGTATTACTGAGTGACAGTAGTTATGGTTAGTTAAATAAGCATGTGACGCGATTTTGGAGGGAGGTACCGATTGCTTTGGGTTAGGGGAGGTTTAGAGCAAAAACGCACTCAAATTTATGTGCTTTCATCCTACAAAAAAAAAGGAGGAACATGTATACCTATCGCGTAACTTAATCTGCGCAACACACAGACCTTACTAACGTTGGTTCTCCCTTCTCCTCTTCCTTATTCTTTATTATTTTCATGCTTTTTTTTCAACTTCGGTGGTACGAAAAAGTTTAATTGATATGGAAAAATATAAGTTACACCTAATTATTTAGGACATAAAGAATAAGAGTTTGTTTGGATGTGCTTTTAAAATGATTGAAAGTGTTTTTGGTGAAATTGATTTTGAGTTCTAAAAAGCACTTTAAGTGCTTTTTGGAAGAAGCACCATATCCGGTGTTTTTTGTAGGAAGCACTTAAAGTGCTTTTTCATGATCCACTTGGATTTTTACTAAAAATTGGTTTCAAAAAGATTTTCATCAAAAACGCTTTTAGTCATTTTAAAAACACATCTAAACGAGCCCTACACTATCCTGTAATTCCATGGTATATATTTCATATGAATTAATCATGTTAATAAACAAGAGTGATAACGTATGGAACAATCTGAAAAGAGCTGCAAGCAGTGTCTCGTACATTGTACCTTTTTGATCGGTGTCTTTGTCCTTGGACTCATCCTCTTGCCCTTGTCTGATGTCTTTTAAGAAGCAAAAACAAAGTTTTATTGTTAAGTTGAGGAGAAGAAATTTGAAGAAGAAAAGAGACTTGATAAAGTTAGGTAAGCGGCAAAAGCAAATTCCAAACGGCAACCCTAAGTTCTACTTGGTTGGGCAGCTCTCAGACATATATGGAAATATCCAGGCTTGCTGAGAGAAAGACCGCTCTGACTACATACAATTGTGACTGTTGCCGTACTTTGCTTCCTCGTATTTGTGCTCTATTCCCTTTATTCATTTCATTAATCCCTGTGGAGCCACACTCTAATCCCAATCCCCATCCAATTAGTTGGACAGAAGCTCTTGTGTTATTGTGAAGACTCATATTTTTGGTAGTATGTTTGTTATTCCTCATTATTTTGTATATTGGTTTTGTGAATACCGAAACCGAGATTCGAAAATATCACATGAAAAGATGTACGTAAAGGGTATCTGATGCATTAAAAAAAAAAAAAAAAAACAGCTTCTTACATGAATGTATGTTCCATACATTTGCCACACAAAACCACTAAGGCGAACTCTTTAAGATAAATCTTTTCCGATCCTTCATTCTCTTTTTTTTTTTTTTTTAATTTCCTCATTGATTGAAGACTACTTAAGCAAACAAAAGGGAAGCCAAGCTCATGATCACCACTCCAGCGCCAACAGCCATCTCACGGTGTGAACCAGTGGTAGAGCTTGATGATCCGGCTGGTGCATCAGCAGATGGTGAGGATGCAGATGAAGCATCACCAGAAACAGGTGGGGATGAAACCTCAGAGGAAGGACTGGGAGCATCAGAGGATGATTTCTTTAATGGAGAAGGAGCTGGTGAGGCAGAGGATTTTGGTGAGCTGGCAGGGCTCGAGGCAGCAGAAATGTCAGGAATTTCAATCACATTTGAGATTTGAAGAACTGAAATGTTGAAGGGCTGAGAGACAACGGATTTCACGAACTTGGCGTTGAGCTTGCTGCCCTTGACAGCTGACCCGAAAGCGAGCCCTCCCTCGTCTATCTTACCGAGGTTGATGAACCCTTGCTGGTCCTTGGCCTGGCCAGTGGACTGGAGCATTGTGGTTAGGGTTGACACCTTGCTGGAAGTAACTAAATTGGTCAGTTTCTTCTGGTCATAGTAATCCAAAACCACGTGTGCGCTCAGGATCTTCTTGATCACATCTTGGGATTTTCCGGAGATGCTTGAGATGCCCCCATTGTCCACTGCCAACACAGTGATGGTGCTGCGCTTGTTGATCTCATCTCCGAGCTTGGTCTCCTTGAGGTAGTTGGTGAAGCTGCTGAAATCCGACTGCTTCTCGAGAAGCTTGACGATGTCAAAGGCCGAAGCCGAAGAGAAGACAAGGAAGAAGGCAAGGCAGAGGATGACGGAGTCCTTTGTGTTCTCCATCTTTATTGTTTATCTTGCTTTGCCTTATTTCTTGCTTTGGAAGCAATGTTTTATTTTTATTTTCAAGCCCTGGTTTGTGAAGTGGGGATTTGGGAGCTTTATATAAAGAGATTTATTGGATAATTAGACAGAAAATTTGGATGGTGGAGCCTAAAGGGTGGGAGTGAAATTCTCTTTGCCATACAAAAATAAATAAAAAGCCAAAGTTTTGACTGGTTAATTAGGAATAGTCAACAAAATATTATGAAAAAAAATAGAAAGGATAGAAGAAAAGGTACCAAATGATCACGTGGAAATCACGCGCATAACATGGCATTCGTTTACTCTTAAAATGCATTAATGATTGAAGAAAAATGTATACACGGAGTCACGAGCGAATCACGTGCAGATTGACATTCGCCTAAGTTAAGAAAGAAGCAATCAACTTTTAAAAAGTTACGCTTGTATTTGTTTTCAGAGACATTCAGTTGATTTGAAATGATCGTAAATGTGGCACATGTAGCGTTAGCTTAGAATACATTAAAAAATAAACATATTACTTAAGAGAGAGTTTTGAGTTGCTATTTGGGGTTTGAGAGTTGAGGCCTAAATCAAACAGTTGTTTTGTTACAATATAAACAGAAGGGGGTTTTATTAAAAAAACAGAGAGGAGGGAGGGTTGGAGAAAGACAGTTAAAACCCCAAAAACTGATCCTCCAAACTTAGTATCTCATGGTTGTCTTCTCCAAATATAATCCCTCTGCCATCTCTATGACATCTTTTGGCTATAAACAACCCTTCAGAAGGCTCTTTACCTCCATCAAACAGCCTTCACAATTTTCAAATCGAAAACCATGACAACTCACAAAGCCTCCCCCCTCCCCGTCCCCGTCCCCGTCTTCGGTCTACTCTTCGTTTTCATCAGCTCGGCTGTCGCAGAGGCCTTGGACGTCCCCGCAGGTCTCCAATCCAATATCATTAATCAAATTAATGGACAAGCAGGGACAAAGGCAAATGCACCAAAGAGTGGTGATCCTAGTGCATTAGCCAATTCCTTCACCTCTGCTCCGGCCCCTGGTGGTAAAGACAAGTTGGACAAAATGATTAAGCAATTAAATGGACCAGCGCCAGCAGCAGATGCAGCGAAGAATGGAGATGCTTCAGCACTAACCAACATGTTCAAGTCTGCTCCAGGGCCTGGTGGTGCTGCCGCTGGGGCTGGTGATGCCTTGACGAAAATATTCAAGCGCGGTCCGCCCCCTGAAGCTGCTGGGCATCAGTCAGCACTGCCACCTTCTAAAGATTCTGCTTCGACTCAGCTGGCTTCGAGCTTCCTGTGCATTGTGATGGTAATGGGGTCTTTCTCATTCTTCGTGGCTTTTTAAAGAAAGAAATTAGTATTATAGCATATAGAGAGAAACGGAGAAGAGGGAAGTACGTGGATGATTATCAATCGTTAACGGAAGCAGAAGATCTTACAACGTTGTTGGTCATCTTCATTCCCGAAAACTGAAAGACGGAGACAATGCTGTGCAATGATTTGTAGAGAATTTTATTACTTGTAAAACTATTGAATATTATTGAATATTCTTTAAACCCTAATAGCTGTAAAGCTGTGTTTAGCTAGGGTTTAGTGAGCTGTGTTATTCCCTCTTCTGTGTAAAGCTTGTTAATAAGCTGTAAAGCATGTGTTAGAGAATGTGGAGGTCATCATACTCTCATGATTGCTTAGCTGACTTGCTTAGCTGCCATTGTCCCCTACTCTCCTCTCTCTTTCCCGATTATTCTTCTATTTATGCTTAATCTTGTAAACTGTTTGATACAATGAAATATACATTAAGGTTTTCTATAAAAACAGTAAGACTTTATCTTTTATTAATTTTGGGTGAAATGATAAAAGGATCTAAAGCTCTTTTCAATAATGCACAATGGAGAATAAAGTCACAGAAGATTAGAAATTTGAAATCGAAATATTATGCTGTCAAAGAAGTTCTACTCGATTAAATTCAAGCATTAACAAAAAGAATATGTTATCATCAGTAACCTACATTCGCTTGCATGCAACGTCTAGTCTTTCGAGCTTTTCCAAAATATATCCAGATCGTTGGCCTCACCAGGTGCAACTATACGATCAAATGTAAAACACCAAATGAACTTGGATACCCCCCAAAAAGACAGTTACCCCTACTAACCAAAAACTCCTCTGGCATGCCATGTATTACATTGTTCATTTGATCTTCTCAATTATATCGGCAATGACTTCCTCCATGTTCAGCTCCTCCATTTCTGAAAATGGTCGTTCCATGTCCTGCAAAACAAAACCCATCAATGACAACTTCGGAAAAAGTGATTACTTTTCAATAAGCTGATAACATGTTAAAACTGATCATCTAATCTCTGCACCAAAACAAACCCGTTTAATGAAGGTCACCCTCTCTTCATCAGAATAAATTATTCAAATTATCATCGAAGAATCTTACAGATTATGATGTTTCCTTCTGTAAAAAGGTAAGCATCCCGTTAAGATTCATCATCAATATAAACTAATTCCCTTAGCGATTATCATCAATCATTTTTAGCCCTTTTTTTTTCAAACTGAAACTTACCATAACAGTGACCTATTTCGCAGTGACCTATTTCGCTCTCCGATCATGTCTTTCAGAATGGAAAAGACTTATTGACAAAACATTATTGCAATTTAAATCTTGTAAGAATAGAGTAATTGGATTAAGAATTACCAGAAGACTGATGAATGTCTCGCCGCCTTCCTCCCGTATCTCAAAGCATCCTTTTCTTGGCTATTCACAATAAAAGAAGAAGGAAATAGTTACTTTCAATATCCTGTAGGAGGACTGCAAGTCTACAGAAATCAAATATGGATAACTATCAAACAATGTTTCTCCCATGATACTTTATGGTTTCGATGATTTCTTGTAAACGTACTCATTTCAAATACATAAAACTAATGTTTTTGGTTTTTCTACTAATTCAGCGTTACTATCATATTTCCATCCAAATAAGCTCGAATCCATGGAAAACATTAATATCCTTCAATAAGTATACCTTATCAGGGTTTAGTAGAACTTTGATGCCAGGAACGCCCTTCTCCAAGCCATCTTTCACCTCATCAGCTCTTGTCTTGAATGACTTGCATTGCCTGCTAGAGAAATGAAACAAATCAGTTAATAAGGATGATATAATGAAGCTGCAGGTACGTAGCAAAAGCCAAACTACCAAACAAAGAAAAAAACACCAATATGGCAGCCTAGTACACAAAGATCTGGAATGGGGAACCCAAGTGTACACAATAAAAACTAGGGAATTTTAACGAAAAGCTATCGGTACTGTTTACTTCAACAAAAAACCATATTTTTACACTAAAAAGTCAATCTTGGTATTATTCACCTTACCCTTTATTTTGTCATTTTCGTTAAAACTCAAAATTTTCAAACCTTTTTCATTAATTTTCCCAAAAAACTAAGAACTAACCACTTAAAAACAATCGTCACAATCTTAAAAAACAAAAAAGGCGGTGGATTGCACAAGGCTTTAACTAATGTGGGATTTGAGAGAGCAAGACTTGCACAATAATAATACTGTTTCTAAAAGAGGCTGTTTTCGCAATCCAAACCTGCGACTAACAAGTCGCTTGGGCCACTTCATAACCAACAAATAGTTTTCACTTTCCAAATGGGAGCAAGGGTTGTAAACTTCTGTCAGGCAATGAAGCTACACCAACCATATAAAATGGAACAGCTGGATTGTGATACATATACCAAAAGTCTCTCAAAACTACAATCACTTAGGAACTGATAGAATCAAAAGCCTCTTTCAAAAGAATGTACTATAGTTTGATTCAATCACAAAGAATCAACTACACTCCTGCAACAATCATACTAGTAAGCCCTGGTTTGGTTTAGCTTAACTTTTAAAAAAAAGTGGGCATAAAAAAACGTTGAAGCATTTTAATTGTTTGGTAAACATTTTAAATTAGTTTTTTTTCAAAAGTTATGAGTGAAAAAAAAACTAAAAACCAGAAAGCAACTTCAACAAAACGGTTTAATTTGGTAAAACACGGTGAACAGTAAAAAATAAATGAACTTTTCAATTTCCAATCCTACCCTTCTCTCTCTATCATCAGTCGTGCCCTCCTCTTCTACCTCTCTCTCGCAACCTTCTCTGTTTCTCCAGAAAAGTGTTCCCGCAGAGGCTCGAGAAACCCTATCGAAGCTCTCTCTCTTCCCTTTCGCTCCTCGCGTCCACATACCACTTAAACAACTTCAAGCCCCTGATCTTTAAAACAAAATTTGAAATAAATTAAGGTTCTCTTTCATCATCAACAGCTAATCACTTCCCAAATCCCTCACCGCCGCTGCCCCACCATCCCAACCAGACCTGACCCAATCCCTCCCAATGCAGACCTGACCCAGTCCCTCCCAGCGCAGACCCAACTTAGAAACCGTCCTAAAGATTGAACCTGATTTTTCTTTTGATTTCTACAAAATTTCAACTGGGTTATGATACCAATCCGTTGTAGTTATCAAATCCCACAAAACACCATAAAAACAGAGAAATTCACCACCTTTAACCAGCGTGAATCCACGGAAAACCCACGAACTTTCGCGACCTACATTTGAAATTCGAACGTATCGACTTTGAATTTGATGAAATAAGGTAGAGATTCGAACCAAGTAAGAGAGGATTCTAGAAGTATCAATTTTTGGGTCTTTGGTGGTCGGATAAGAGTGGCGTCGCGACGGCTACGCCTTGGCTGCTGTTGCAGCGTGAAAGGGATAAAGGAGGCAGAACACGAGAATGTATAAGATGAGAGAGAGAGATATTAATTTTTTGGGCACATCGAGTATTGTACTCTTTATTGTTATTTTACACAATTTACATAAAAATTTATTAAACATTATAATAATATTTTTTTTCAAAAATATTTTTATAAAAAAAATTTATCAAATACTCTTGTTGTTTTATTTCACAATTATTTATTCTCATAGCTCAATAAAACTAGTTTTTTTTTTTTAACACAGTATCACCAAACCGGCTCTAAACGAACAACTGCAGTTTAGTGGCCAAAAGAGACCTTAATTTCAACACCAGTTTATGCTTCCTAGATACTAAGTTAAACCACACGCCCCTCGAATAGCTATTATAACAGAAAGTCAAAATGCTCAAAGGCTCAAAGCGAATATCATAATCTAAACAAAATAAATAATAAATAATAAAACAAGAAGCACAATTATGCGAAACAATATTTTCTTGCATATCCCAAAAGTTTCTCGGCAACCAAACAGGATCAAAGAAAGATAGAGGGATAAAAACTGGCTCACCAGTGCTCAATCACAATGGTCCTCTTGTCCCACTCGTTGCCAGTATGCTTCGTAGCTTCTCCGTCGTCCTCCAGTTTCTCTTTCCCTTTCTCGTTCTTGTTCTCCGCTTCTGCCTCTGCCTCGCTCGACGGAGTTCTCCTTCTCTTCCTTCACAGCCTCCCATTCCGCTTCTTCCGCCGCCGGCTTCACCTTCTTGGCTGGCTCCTTTTTCTTCTGAGCTCCCTTGGCCTTCTTCCTCGCCGGCGCCACTGGCCGGGGCTCAGCCGAGCTCCCACTGGCAGCTGTCTGATTCAAACTCCGGGTCACTCGCTCAGCGGATCCCCCCCGAGCGGTGTCCCTAGCCACCAGCGCCTCCAACTGGGCGCCGACCCTTGCCACCTGCTCTTTCTCTTGCGCAGTCAGCTTGCGTTTCCTCGGCGCCATTCCCACAAAATCCAGAAACCCTAGCACGCTAACGTAGCTCCGAGGGAGGGAGAGAGAGAGAGAGATGAAACGCTGCGTCTTAGCTTCACGCACGAGCAACGAAACGCGAAAACTGACTGAGTGAATCACTCTGGCTCAGGCTGGTGCAGTTTTGCACTTCTTGGTTCGCAGATAACATTTCAGTTTCCCGCGCTTTTGCTGATCGTGGATTTTAACAGACGGTGGGGAAGTGTTTATGGGGTGATGGATGAGTATGGGCCGTCGATTGAAGAGCGAGTACGGAGTCGCAGTGGGTTGTGAGACTTCGTGATGGGAATTGAAAAGGCCTTTCCGCGTCAACCACGTGTACATAATTCCTCGCTCTTCCGGACAGTTAAGGCCATCTCCACCGATCCAACCAGAGGGTTATAGAATCGAAAATAACTTGAAATAACATAAGAATCATCTCCAACCGAAGGCTAAGCCAAATGGGTCATGAGCCCTACCTGGCCAAAAAAAGGAGAAAATGGCCAATCTGCTAACCCAACCCAACCAGCCCCAGACCGGGCCATTTACTGACTTCAACTAGCCGTTATATTTGATTTTTTTTTTTTTACAATTTTTTTTTAAATATAAATTCTATTTCTTTTTCCTATAACTTCCTAAGTCATTACAATATTAAGTAATATGAAACAACATTAAACAATATTAAACAACAATAAATAACATTAAGTAACATTAAACAACATAGAAATTATACAACATAAAATTCGAGACGTAAAATTATTGAGATTCCATCTCGAAAAATTATTGACAATCCATAATGTAAAATTATTGAGGTAATTTAATTTAAATAACCATAGTAATTCAATTAAAATAATAAATTATGTTTGGCCCTATAGCCCATTCGGTTAGAGATGGTTTTTTGTCATAGAGTTATGTTTGGCATATGGCCCTCTGGCCCCTCGATGGGAGATGGTAAGAAAAATGGCATGATAGTATTCATTAAAATATTAATTTCTTGAAGGACTATAGGGCCAAAAAAAGCCCTGGCCCTCCTTTGGTTAGAGATGGCCTAAGTGAAGAGATTTTTCAATGTGACCGGCACACGAGATGTGTGTGTTTGGATCCAAATTTACACCATCGGCCCGTGCAATCAAGGTCGTTAAGTGAGCATAGCTCCCAACCGTCGAATGGAAAAAGTGAAGATAATTTTGTTATTGTTAAAGGATAATATTATGGTTTTTATCATAATAATTATCTTTTAATATGGATTATCTTCATCTTCTTAAACCAGATGAATAGAATGCGAATTATATCTCAAGCAAGTAGTACAGTTCGAATTGATTTGGGATGTCTGACGACACTTGGAAGCTAAAAATGAATTTGAAATTCATTTGATCAGGATGCATGCTTGGATGGGTTTAAGGGTGATGGAATTATGACGATGTGATAAGCCTAGGATTTGATGGTCTTGGATAATGATGAGATAAGAAACCTAGGTAGGCTAGGCCTTTTTGCATGGTGATGGGCATTGTCAGATGAGTTTGGAGTGATAAGAATTGATGATGGGAGCACAGTATGCATGCCGTGTGAAAGGGCACTTCGAGATTTCAAAGGGACACCTGTTGTTCCTCTCGTAAAAGTCCACAGGCATAAGGAGATTAGAGAGATTTTTGCCGAAATATATTAAAGATAATATCAGTTATTGTTTTTGAGAGTATATTCGGAAAAGGTCTCTATTGGATTGGCAATCAAGGAGACTTGCCATAAATACAAAGGCAGTGGCAACAAGAAAAGTCTCTCCAATTCAACACACAAACTGCCCTGCAAACTCTCGCTCTACGCAAAACCTCTCAACAACCTTGAGATTTTTATTTTCTTTTTCTGCCAACACATCTTCAGTTTGGATAAACAGCATTGTGAAGGCAACCGACGAACATCTTCAGTTTGGATAAACATCAATGTTGTCGTAGAATCAACCGACCGCGGAGCACCTTCAGTTTGGATAAACAGCATTGCGTCAAGGCCGACTGGTTACTTATCCAAGTCTCAGTCAAGAAGAATTTTCAAGTCCTTATTGACAGAGGTCATCTCATTAGCATTATTGGTGAAGTGAGGTGTTACAAATTATTGAGCTCGGCACATTGAACGTCGAGTGGTTTTATGATTGGGTATTCACAAGTAAGTTTTAGAGTTCGGCATTCTGACGGCTGAACCACATTTACCATCAAGACATACATCTCATTTGAGTACTTGTGTCCGTATAGTTTGGTGCCAATTTGGCGTGCTTATACTCTTACGAATATAATCACCGTAACCGAACTTGCCGCCGAGGATCCATGAAACTTCACAAGACTAGCAGCCTTGTCTTCAGGCTCTAGAACTCGAAGGCCGAGACGTGTTCCTTCCTCAGCCGTAGTCGCAAGATCAAGAAGTCAGCAGTGCGCTCAACGCAACATCAACACATTTTACTCCCTGGCTGAGCACGATCGACAAGTTGGCACACTCCGCACACAACCGAATGACGTAGTTAGCTTATTAATTATTCGGTCTGCGCACCAAGTAGGCTTGATAGTTTTTAAGGTCAACAATGTGTTAAAATTTAATAACTTAAAAAATAAAATTTCCCACCACTTACATAAAAACATGTGGTGTACCACTCGTGTTTCCGTCACAATAAAAAATTTCTCAGTTAAGTGGGATCGTCCTCGCACAATATGGACATGCTCACGACTCACCAAGAGATTATTGTTTTTCTTAAAAAAAATTATAATTAGCAATAATATATATATTTTGATTTTTTTATAAATAATTCATGTTTATTATACCGTTATTATATTATTGTTGTGTTTGTTTAATACTATTTTTTTGTCGACAATACATGATAAATATGTTATCATTATTGAAAATAATATTTTTGTAAACAAAATGACAAAATATGCTTATGTAGCTATTTTCCTTAAAATTTATTGCATTTTGGTTGTTTTTATCCGAGTCATCAGTATGGCAATTTTTTTTTATAAGCTTTTGAGAATGTTTTTTATATTCGTTTGCTTGCAAGGGTGTAACTTGTAGGCGAGTATCAATCATTACAACAAACAGAACGACTACAAACCAAAAAAAAAGTCACCACAATTAGCCTAGTAGTCTCACTTTTCGTGGACTATGGGTGGAGATAATATAGGGAGAGAGAAAATGTGTGTCGAAGTCAGTCTCTGTTTTTAAGTGCAAAGGCTAATTGGATTATTGGAATTATGACTTCGAATCATAGCTTCGAAAATCAGGTGAAAAATGTACTTAAGGTGTCTGATTGCATTCTGAAAAGAATAATGTTAAGGAAATCAACTCATTTGTGTCCCTAATAAGAAATAAACACATTAATTAATACTTAAGTGATAATTCAATGATCAACAATCATATCATTTTGTTTACAAAATTTAGTTTAGAATTTTAAGCTTACTAACATTACCCTTTTGAAAAAACAAAAAGATTAAGAAAAAAACGTCATGGTCATTCATGAAAATGGGAAGGAAAAAAACATTACCGCTATTAGCCTATTAGTCTATCTTATTGTTTGGTCAAAGCCTGTTCTTCTCTTTTGAACAATCGATATTATCTATATTAAGAAGGAATATATAAGCTAATCCTCACAATAGACTAGCAATAATGTGGTTCAAATTCTTCTTTGGCAAAAATCGAACCTATAATCTCTCATTTACAAGTTTTCAAGTTCTCTATCGGTCAAAATGTTGTGCGGAAACATCAAGTACGAAACCAATAAGCTAATTTGCAAAATATGACAAGACAAATAATCTAAAATAACACAAGGATTTATACTAGATCGGCGTAAGCCTATGTCCAGTTAAGAGACAGTGAGAAAATTCAACTAATATCAAATTGAAAATTACAAATAGAGTTCAACTCTCAAATTCCAAATCTCACATGCACCCAATAATTCTCACTCATACAAAAACCAAATAAAGAAGATGAAAACATATACTAAATCACTTCTTTCCCAAAAGCACAAATCGTGGCACCGTTATCTTTTGATTGAGTGATTACAAATAAACGAGGAGAGCAGCAGCTCTTCTTCAAATGGGAGAGCCGAATGCCCTCTCCACTGCTCACAAATCGGAGCTGTCAACAGACAGCTCCATTTCTCTCAGCTGCTGCCGCTCTCTCCTCTGCTGTCTTGCACTGAGCAAAAATAGGCTACACTCTCTCTCCTTCTCTCCGTTTCTCTGCTTCCTCAATCAGAAAGCAACCTATTCCCCAAAACAAGGCATAGGAATCATCATGATGTGCCTAGCTTTTACCTTTTCCCCAAAACAAGAAAGAGGCATCATCATTGCTAACAAACATCATCATTGCTGCCCTTTACTGTTAGCCACGAAAGTCATGCCAAATATACTAAACTACACCTCTCTCTGACTCTCACTCAGCCTTTCGCGGTCTCCCCCAAGTAATTATCTCTTTCTTTCTCACCACAAATTATTAGTAGTTTTTCTTTAATGAACACTTATTTGTACATTCACTGTGAATAAGCCATATCGGTCACATCGTAGCTCATTGTGGGCCACGAGACCTCTAATCATATTAGGCCACCATATATGGTTAAATAGAAATTAGGGCCAAGGATAGTTAACTAGGAAACAGGGCTTTTGAGAAAAGCATGGCAAAGGGAGTTTGAAGGATTACCATCTAAATACAGGCCACTGAGATTTTAAGTTAGAATAATTTTGTTGATATAGATAATATGTTGATTCCTATTGGTTCTTCATTGTGACCTATGTGAGATTTATATGCTTTAGAAATTTCAATTTTTCCGTTTTCATTTTTTTCTTCATTAGGTCCAGATTTGTATGTTAAATTTGGTAGTTAAGTTGAATTGAGTAGTGAATCTAAATGTCTCATTTTGATTTAATGGCTATGACTATATGATCATCCGGTGGTGATGATTAATATTATGATGGACGCACATGTGAAAAAAAAAATTATGAATTTAACATGACTCAATTACAACTTTTTTTTACGTATATACCGACTCGCTTCAGATTGTTGAAGCGGCTAAAAATCTTTCCATGCACTTTTCCAAGATCGGGCAAATCATGGTGGACATAAAGGCGCTACTTTCAACAATTACTGAGGCTACTATATCCCATACCCATCGCCAAACAAACAATATTGCACATAGGGCTTGCCCGTTTTGGTCTCTTGGTGAGTCATGTGTGATTGGGATGATCACCCTCCAACTTTATTTTGGATTTAATTATTGATGAGATTATGGAGCTTTGAATGGCCTTGTAACAAACCAATGTAATGACTCTATCAATGAATCTACTATCGTTTCTTTGAAAAAAAAAAAAAGGTTTAGGTTCTTTTTTGTTTAGATGACGCAATATTGTTCAACTTA